CCAGTAGCTTCACGGAACTTACAGGTCTCTATGTCCGCAGAAGCCAACTTTCCAGTTGCCCCAAAATGGATTCGAATGAATTTTCCCTGAAGAGATGGATAGAAGAGGATGGTAGGAAGCCAGGGAAAGGCTAGTAATTGAGGCCAATCCTCAGCCAGCCCAAGTCCCAAGTGCAAGGTGGAGTGTCACTCACAAATCGAGAGGAATTATCGTTCCGGACTGTCTTGGCATTGCCAAAGGCCTCCAGAGCGGGGTTGGCTTGGATGATCTGGTCTTCCAGGGTACCCTGTAAGAGGTCATGAAGGATGGGAGGTGAAGACTTGCCACTTTCTTTCTCATAATGCAGACCCTTAGGTGACAACATGCCTACCTTGCCTGGGGTCTGGTCCTTCTTGCTGCGGTCCCCAATGGCAGCAATAACAGCAAAATATTGAATGACCCTCTTGGTGTTGACAGTCTTACCAGCTCCGGATTCTCCGCTGTTGTGACAGGCAAAGGCTCAACAGGCAGTAAATACTGCTGCTAACGGTCAACAAACCTCAAGTGAGGAGAGAACACCTATCCCTACTGGAGAGGGGGCAGTCTCATCAGGAAGTTGGTAGAGAATGGCACCGAAAATCCAGTGAGCAAGTAGGAAAGATGCCACAAGAGAATGGGCTCAATCAGAGGGGAGGACTGTTTTGGAAGAGTAGGTGGAGGAAAGACAAGGTTTCAGAAAGGAAAGATAAGGAAGAGGAAGCGGTGAAGACGTGCAGACTTTATCGAATGGGCTTAGAGATGGAGGAAGAGTTAGAAGGCAACAGGTGAAGGAAGCAAGTGAGAAAACTGAGAGAGATGAAAAGCAGAAAGGAGGGGCTGGAGAGATGGCTCAGTGGTTAAGAGCACTGACGGCTCTTCCAGAGGACCCAGGTTCAATTCCCAGCACCCACATGGCAGCTCACAACTGTCTGAAGATCCAGTTGCAGGGGATTTGACACATTCATACCAATGCACATAAAATAAAGTTAAATAAACCATATATATATATGAAAAGCAGAAAGGAAGAGGGACACAAAGAAAGGAGCTGGGGAAAAATCAGAGAAGAAAGCAATGGGCATGGGATGGAGAGAAAGAGAATCATAGTGTATACAAAGGAGTCTGGGGTCCCCCTGGGGGCTGGGGTTAGGGATTCTTGAACTGTACTCACGTGATAAGGATGGACTGGTTCTCCCGATCTGGAAGAGAGAAGAGGAGAGACAATGGGTTGGGGCTAGCGGGGGGCTGGGGTGAGGGGACACAGGCCAGGACACCAGGCTCACCTGTCAGCATGTACTGATAAGCATTGTCAGAGATAGAGAAGATGTGGGGCGGGGCCTCGCTCCTCTTCTTGCCCCGGTAGGCAGCCACGACTTCAGCGTTATACACTGGCAGCCACTTATAGGGGTTGACAGTGACGCAGAAGAGGCCTGAGTAGGTCTGGGGGCAAAGAAGAGGAAGCATGTGAGGGTGATTTTCAGAATTCGAGAAAGACCCCAGGAGAGGAAGAAAGCAAAGGGAAAGCTCAGAATGTGTCCAGAGGAACCATTTCAGTGTTATAACAAGGAGCAGGAGCCTGTGTAGAGCGCTGTGGTCCTGGCTTGGCTTCAGGAGGCTGCTCTTGCCCAGGCAGTTCTAGGTTCTGGGAGACAGACTGGTGCCACACTCACGTAGATCATCCAGGAAGCATAGCGCTCCTTGAGGTTGTACAGCACGGCCGGCTCGTGCAGGAAGGTCAGCATGGCCATGTCCTCAATCTTGTCGAACTTGGGCGGGTTCTGCTGCATCACCTGGTCTTCCTTCACGGTCACCGTCTGTAACAGCCCACACAGGCACTGTCAGCCTGTGTCTGTCCTGCTCTAGCAGCAATGCAGGGAGTAGGGAAGGTACCGGTGGGTGAGAAGGTATTTAGCTGAGGAGGGATCTTGAATGCAGGGTGGACGCTGGGAGTCAGAAGGATCATGGGAGAGTTTGGGCTTCCATCCTACCTGGAGGACAGGAGTCTCAGTGGCCCTCAGGTGTGCATGCACGTACCCTCTCTGTGCACCCCAGTTGTGGGGCTCGTACCTACACCTACCTTGCCATTCTCTGTCTCAGCAGTGACTTTGCCACCCTCTCGAGACACAATCTTGGCCTTGACAAACTCTTCCTTGTCATCAGGCACAAACACATCTTTCTTGAGGTCGAAAGGCCTGGTCTGCGCCTCCAGCCGCTCCTTCTCAGATTTGCGCAGGAAGGGGGCTGCAGCCCCAAATGCGGCCATCTCGGCATCTGCCATGGCTGAGCCTGGAGTGAGAAGAAGCTGTTACCTACATGCCTTCTCCCTCCCTGGGCTGTCCCCTTCGGTGGCAGCTCCCAGATCTGGTACCACGCTCAGTACTCAGGAAGAGTCACCTGCGAGTCCCTTGCTCTGCAAGCTTACTCCTAAATGAGAGATCAGCCTGAGAACTGCCAGGCAAAAGGGACAGCTTCACCTTGTTCAAGCTGGGGCACTCTGGGGAGTGTCCTAACCTTCTTCCTGGGCAGGATTCTGTCTGCCTCTACCTTTCCCTGTCAACAGACCCTGTCCCTCACTGACCATAGGCAAGGAGCTCCTGGAAACCAGGTCATTGTCTCCAAGCAGGGCAAGTAAAGACAGCTCCAGTTTGGCTTTGGGCTACCATGTTCAGTCTTCCCAGATCCCCTAACACTTGAACATCAGCTCTTCTTACCTTGGTTTCTCAAACGTGTCTAGTGATGAGGAAGTAGGCCCAGGCCTGGAGGAACCCTGGAGAGAGGAAAGGGGCTGCGGCAGGCTGTAGGCCAACCTGGCCACTGCCACCTCCACCCCGTCCTCTGTGCTCTTTAGCTTCCTGCTCCTCCACCCCCAGGAGAGACCAGAAGCGCTGCTCAGTCTCTCCAGTCAGTCTCCTCCTTCCTTTCCAAACGCTATTTCCTTTCTCCCCAGAACTAACGCAAACAGCTTTCTGTTGCCTCTGAGCCCCAAGCTTCTGCCCCTAAGGGGTTGTTCTACCCTTACCTGTACCTGACTGGCGAGACTTCCTTTCTTTGAGCCACCTACAAAGCAATAATAGTGATACTGGTTTACTATTTTTTCAGACAAAGCACTTTTATTCTTTCACTCAATGGCCACCCCTTGGACACGTGAGGAAACCGAGGCCACGTGGTTTGCTCTTCTCAGGGCACAAAACAAGAGTCAAGACTTCAGGCTCAAGGGTCAGGACTCTAACAGCATCCTGTTAGATAGGTCATCCCTCCCAGCGCATCCTCCACGTCCCCCAGTGAGCACGCATGCCTGCTGCGTGTATACACACTTTTCAGAAAGATAGGCTGCTTCTATCCTCAGCGCACACGCTCCCACAGTGTTCGTGTGCCTCAAGAACAGCCAAGCATGCACACAAGCTGGCTCCTGTGGCTGCCTCAGAGTCCCCAGACCAGAGAACACCCTGACACCCCCGCCCCCAGACACCTGCATGCCTGTGAGGTCCTGCTGCAGAGACTACACACAGAGTCTCCATGGACAGTCAGGCGCTTCCACAAACAAGGAGACTCAACTATTCACAGTACCGGTTTCCTTCAGAATTATTCTCCAGCATTCTGCCCCTCCTCCCCCAAAACGCTGTACCCAGGCGTGATGGCAAGCATGTCTTCTACTGAATCTTACGTGGTGAAAAGTATACTCACCCCTACATTTAAGACACGTGTGCTTGTATTCAAGTGTGCACCCACACATTTGTGCTCAATTGCACATGTGTGTGCGTGTGTGCACCCCCCCCCCACTATTGCATTCTGGGCCATGTTCAGATACAGATATTTCCCCTGGGGAACACACGGGCCCTGAATTCCTATGGCACAAGCCTGCACATTTAGATCTGCACAGGAGGGCTCAATAATAATCGGGTACTACGTGAAGTCCTTTCAGAAGCCTGGTATTCTAGAGAAATCTCTTCAGGAACCTGGAGCCCCTTATCCCCGAGGAAGGCCTCCAGTTCCCGCTCCTACCTGAGGCCAGCAAGGAAGGAAACAGGAGATTGCTCAGAGCCAGACCTGGCCTCAGGGACTGTATATATGGGGCAGCAGGGTGCCCCCACCCCCACCTGCACCCAGTCCCTAGCCAGATTTAGAAAGGGCTGTTGTCACTAAAAGCATTCCCCCCCAACTCCCCTCCCCCCCCCAGCCAGGAAACAATTGGAAGTGGCCGTCATTGTTGTGGCATGGCATGTTCAGGGTCTGAGTTCCAGGGGGCGGGGTGGCTCAAAGTGAAGCAAAAATATCTCTTACATTCCACAGCTCACTGGAGAGTGAGCTGACAACGACCACCATGACCTCGGGCAGGCAGAGCCCTGGCCTGGGCCCTGGCACTGCTGCCCCTCAGAGCCCTTGCCCCCAGGACTAGCCTGGACCTGTTTCCAGTACCCTCCCCAGTCTCCTGGCCTGAGTCCCTCATCTGACTGAGGTGGGAAGGGGCAGGGCAGAGTTGGGGGCACGGCCCTGGTATGGTAGTTGGATTGGATCAGCCAGGAGGCAGCTTCCTGGTTAAGTGGTAAAAAGAATGACCAGAGAGTTTAGACACTGGGACTGGCTCAGGCACGGGTTTTCACGGGCCTGGCAGGCAATGTGCTGAGATCACTGAGCCAGGCAGGTCCCTAGTGTGATCCATCTAAGTGCTTCACTTTATGGAGGTGAGAGTGCTTCCTCTAAGGTCCCACAGCTTCAGGGGAGCCAGGTGGGGACCCTCCACAGATAGGGGAACTAGGGATCCCGCGGAAGACCAGTTACCTATTGGTCCTACTTCCGAGCTCTTTCCTGACTGTGTTCATCTCTCTGCCCTGCAGAGGGGCACAGGAGTGAGCCTACCAGGGCTGTAGATAATACAGCTACTGTTGCTGGCCCACCCAACCTCTGTTCAGACATGGATGCAATCTTTGTTCTTGCAAATGGAGAGAGAGACAGGACAGGAAAAAAAATCTTTCCTTTCCCTGCAGGGCCTGGGAGCAACGCTGGCACCCAGCCGCTGGACAGCGCACAGTCAGTCCTTGTTCCTGCCGCATGACCTGTGCAAGCTCCGCTGCTCCATGTCTAGGCAACCGCTTCACAGTTTGGTTTGAAATCCCCCCCTCCTTTTTTCCCCCCCAAGCACAGCTCTGAGTGCCTGCGGATTAATCCAGTTGATTCAGTGTTTGAAGGAGAGAGACAGGCTTGGGGGATGGGGCGCAAAGCAGGTACATTTTGAAGGTGGGATGGGCACAGCAGGGAAGGGGAATTCCAGGAAGGGCTGCTCTGGGGTTTCTTGGTAACCAAAGCACAGCCTAAGGACACAGAGCAGCCCTGTTTACAGTGCAGAGTCGGGGGATAAACCACAGACCATGGAGGCTGCATCCCACGGCAGCTGCAGCTCTGCAGTCCTCAAGCATGAAGTTGCATTTGCTAAGGAACAGGTTCCGCTGCTGACATGCTCAAGAGAACAAATTCTGGGGGGTCCCTTCCAGACCCTGCCAGATATTAATAGATGGGGCTCACTAGGAGGAACCTCGAGCACTGGAGGAAGGCAGCATCTCTTTCATATGCTTTTAGCTTTCTAAGCACAAAGTATGAAGGTGGCATCCTGCCCAGCTCAGGGGCAGGGCTCAGGCACAGGGGCATGCAACTGAGATGATAAAAAATAGCTGGAACACAGGTGAGCCATTTTAAAGTGCGTGTCTTTAGGGCCAGCCTGCATGGCTGGGGATTGGCTGAGGGATGACTAGGAAGCTGTCTCTACAATCAGTAACTTAATCAGGTTTGGAGGGTTCTGGTCTATGGGTGTTTAGGTGTATTGCTTTCAACGCCCCACGCAGAATATAAATCACTTTCCTAACTTTAAGTTCCATGTCTCATATCCCAGACCCGAGGATCTGTTGCCCTTCAAAATTCTTACTCTGTCTCCAGCCCCTCCGACACCTGCTTTCGAGTCTTCTGTTTGCTGCTGCTGCTGTTGGAAGGTTGGGTGGCTTTGCCCACCCTTTCCTAAGCAAGCATTTATTGAGTGTCTACTATGAGCTTGGCGCTGTTCTAGTCAATGGGAAATAGGGAACAATGAACCAAAGCGAAGACGCCTGCCCTGGGCAGCTTCGTCCATCCGACTGTTTGTAGCGGTGGACCCTGACTTCAGTGTACAGCCCATGCTCTGCACGCACACACATTCCTCGTGGGGAGAGTGGGGGCTCTGCTCCTGTGAGGAGTGGGTGGTGACTGGTGTGCACTACAGAGTGACAGCCGACAAGACAAAGGACACAGAGCAAAGGCTATAAATAAAGAGGGCCGGGAGGGAGGGCCGCTTCACTAAGGTAGACCAAATAAGGCCTGGGTGGAAGGAAGGTGATCTGCCTCCCTACCCCCCCCCCCCCATTAGGCATTGTGTCTGCTTTGTCTGGGCTCTGTCACCACATTGATCGAATGTCAAGCCCAAACAGGAGCCATTTGCTGTGAACATGCCAGTGGAGACCAGCGGAAAGTTTGCTAAAATTACTGCTAGGAATTAGGGTGAGAAGGGGGTGGGGTACACAGGCTAAACCAGAAGAGACCCGAAAGTGAAAGGGGAAAAATCTGAAAGGAACCCCAAAACCCAAAGGGAGGGGGACAGAAGGAGACAAAAGAGGTAGGGCACCTGGCCCAAGAGGAGGAAGGAGGCTTCAGTTGTTTTGTGACCAGGAGATGGGAGGGAGGCTGACCTTGGGGGAACCTGTCCCTGGCTCCACAGGGGCTGGGGATTAGGGAGTGAGCTAGCGCTGTCTCAGGTTCCCTCTGCTAACAGCTGCTACTTCTGGTCATCCTTTTGTGTTCTCGCTGGCTCCAAAATCTTTTGTACTCTGCATGCCAGCCCGCACAATGCCCCAGACTCCCATCTCCCAGTCTCTGATTTCCAATGGACAGGGCCAACTGGCAAGGCAGCCCAGCCGCAGTAGGAGTACTTTCAGGCAGGTGGATCTCTCCTGGGAGAGTGTTTGGAGGTGACACTGTGTGGAACAGCCAGTCTAGGAGCCCGAGGGAATTTAGGAGGTGACTTTCTGGGGGTGCAGAGATCCACTTTGAGACCCAGCTCCTCATTTCCAAGCTGTATGGTCTTGCTCAGTCGCGCACGTCCCTGTGACAGTTTCGTTGTCAGTGTGTTCATTCGCAGGGCTTATGGTCGCAAATGACGGGCTTAGCACACACCAGCACATAAGGGACTTCACAGTGGGAAGTTTTTATCCCAAGAAACAAGGACATCAGGAATCCAGAGGCACACAGCAGGGCTAGTGATCAGCTGTAAGCTCTCCGTCCCCAGATTTCCCTCAGCCCCTCCATGTCTAGACCCAACCCATTTTCACAAGCTAGCCTTGAGCCAGAAAAGCTCTCATTGTTCTGATGCTGTCTGCAAAGTTTCTCTCATGACCACTGTGTACCCCCAGCCCACCAGAAGTTGGCCCAGCGAAATGGCCATGTTGTCAGGGAGCTGAGGCAAAGCCCTAGGTGAATGCTTTTTGTTTACTGGCCGGAAAATCTCAGGAACCCCGAATGAAGCATCTGGTCGACACGGACAGGCTATAGGGAGGAGGCGGGCTAAACCGTAGCCCTCAGGAGGGGGGACACCCAGAAATCCTTCAGATATCCCTGAGTTAGGGTCAGCCAAGGATGTAGAAACCTCTGAAGGAGAATACTGGAGTACTGTGATGTGAAAAATTGGGCAAATTTGTCTTGGCAAGGTGGGATAGGTATTTAATCCCAGCAGAGGCAGGCAGGTCTCTGTGAGCTTGAGGCCAGCCTGGTCTATGTAGAGACTCCCAGGTCAGTCAGGGAGATATCATGCGACCCTGCCAGTGAGAGACAGCCGTTGGGGGGACTATGACTAACTGCCTTAATTAGGGTTTCTACTGCTGTGATAAAACACCATGACCAAAAGCAGCTTGGGGAGGAAAGGGGAAAGGGTTTATTTTGGCTCACAGCTCTCAGGCCCATGCCTGAGGGAAGTCAGGGCAGGCACCCAAGGCAGGAACCTGGAGTCAGGAACTAAAACAGCTTGCTGGCTTGCCCAGTCGTCGTCTTCTTCTTCTTCTTCTTCTTCTTCTTCTTCTTCTTCTTCTTCTTCTTCTTCTTCTTCTTCTTCTTCTTCTTCTTCTTCTTCCTCTTGCTCTTCCTCTTCTTCAATATAATTCATTTTTATTTTATATGCATTGGTATTTTACCTGCATGCATGTCTGTGTGAAGGTGTCAGATCTTAAAGTTACAGATGTTGTTAGCTGCCACGAGAGTGTTGGGAATTGAACTTGGGTCCTCTGGAAAAATAACCAGTGTCCTTAGCCACTGAACCATTTTTCCATCCCCTTGGTCTAATTTCTCATAGCTCCCATTCATGCTTAGGACTGGCACCACCCACAATGGACTATGTCCTCCCACATCAAGAAGGCCAACCTGATGGGGGGGGCATTTTTTCAATTGAGGTTGCCTCTTTTCAGATGACTTTAGTTATGTCAAACTGATACAACGACAACAAAACTAACCAGGACAGTATGCCTATTTTTAAAAATGGGCACACTGAAAAAGAGCAAAAGATGGGGCTGGAGAGATGGCTCACTGGTTAAGAACACTTGCTGCTCTTGCAGCGGACCTGGATTTGTTTCCCAGAACCCACATGGCATCTCATAACCCTCTGTAATTCCAATTCCAAGGGATCCAATGCCCTCTTCTGGCTTCCACGGGAATCAGGAATACACATAATGAACATGAATCCACGTAGGCAAATATCCACACACATAAAACAAAAATAAATAAACCTTTCTTCAAAAAAGGGAGATCTGGACCTATTGACATGTGGTGGCACATGTCAATCCTAGCACTCAGGAGGCAGAGACAGGTAGATTTCTATGAGTTCAAGGCCAGCCTGGTCTGCACAGTGAGTTCTATGACAACCTGGGCTAACAAGAGAGACCCTGTCTCAAAAAGAGAAAGAGAGAGAGGGAGGTGAGCAGAGAGATGTTAAGAACACTGGAGGCTCTTCCAGAGGACCTGAGTTCAAATCCTAGAACCCACAAGGCAGCTCACAACCACCTGTTACAAATCAGGGTCTGGATCTAGAACAACCCGGGGGCTGAAAACCTCTTGCTCTATGGGGGCTGGCAGAGTTTTAAGGTGGGAACATGAACCTGGAGTTTAAAAGGAGGAGAGGCCTTTGAATGCATGTGCGGCCAGCTGTGCTCCCAGCAGTGAGAATCAGTGTGGCCCAAAATGTGGATGGGGAATGGCGCGGTGAGCTAGAAAGGACTCGAGGGGAACCTCTCTTGCTATGTGGTTTTGGAGATGTCAGGAGGAAAGAAAAAGACATGAGGCCCCACGGTCTATATGTGAGTACCTCTCTGCATAGAGTTAGACACACCTCAGTCAATACAACCTTTTGCAACTCAAATTACAATCCATGCATAAGCAGTGGGGTTCAGAGGGAATAAGGCGTTTGCCCAAAGTCAAGCAGGGAATGTGGCGTTAGGATTCAAGCTCGGGGCCACTTGGTTCAAAGAACTGACCTGCCGTATTTCTCAGACCTGCAAAATGGATGCTGTTGTGGGAGCAATGGAGAGTGGCCGCGGCCCTAGACTATGGCAGGCAGTGTGATAGTTTGAAAGCACAGCTTGAGGGGCAGGCTGGGTACCGAGAGGGGAGAGTCTAGACGCAAGGAGACGGCAGCAGAGGTTAAAGCTGCCATCAAAGTTGAGAGGTAGGGAAAGGAAGCGAGCAGACTGGGAGGCATTCCCACGGAGGGGATAGAATGCCCTTCTACAGACCGGCTCTGGGAAGCCGGGAAGGAGAAATCACGACTGTGGGGCGTCAGTGAAGTGGGGGTAGAAAGGAGGCAAGTCTGCAGACCGGCAGGGTAGAGACTCGTGGGCTGGCAGGTAGGGCTGGTGGGTGAGAACTGGCCACCTTGTAGTACTGTAAGATGCCGTGAGCTTGGAGACCAGAGGAAAGACTGGAGAGACAGCATGGCCCAAGGAAGGAGGAAAGGAAAGAAGCCCGCAGAGGACAGAAGATGGCCCAGTGAGCAAAAGTGCTTACCATGACGTCTGATGACCTGTGCTCGATCCCAGAACCCACTCTAAGAAGCTGGCTGTGGGCTAGAGAGATGCCTCCGTGATGCTCTTGTCCAGGACTCAGGTTCAGCTCTCAGTACCCACATGGCGGCTCACAACCATTGATAGCTTTATTTCCAGCGACCATCGCCCTCTTCTGGCCTTCATGGGTACTCCTGCCTGTGATGCACTGACATACGTGCAGGACACACACACACAGCCCTAACATAAAAATAAATCTTTAGGGGGCTGGAGAGATGGCTCAGTGGTTAAGAGCATTGCCTGCTCTTCCAAAGGTCCTGAGTTCAATTCCCAGCAACCGCATGGTGACTCACAACCATCTGGAATGAGATCAGGTGCTCTCTTCTGGCCTGCAGGCACACATGCAGACAGGATACTGAGAATACTGTATACATAATAAATAAATAAATCTTAAAAAAAGTAAATCTTTAAAAAAAAATGCTGGGTGTGGTAACTAACATATGTAATTCCAGCAGTCCTATGGCAAAATGGAAGGGGAAGACAGGAGAATTATTGGGATCAGAAAAAAGTTACGTGTAAGAAAGGAACCAATTCTGAAAAGTTGTGTTCTGACCTTCATATGTGTACTGTGGCATGAGAATGTTTATGCATGTCATGCTGGTACACACACAAACAGACACACACACTACAGATTAGAATATCTACACACATCATGCATGTGCACGCACACACTAAAGATTAGAATGTTTACACACAACATACATGTACATACACACACTAAAGACTGAGTGTTTACACATGTCATTTATGTGCACACACACTAAAGATTAGAGTATTTACACGTCTTATATGTACAAACACACACACTAAAGATTAGAATGTTCACACACGTTATATACACATACACCACACACATGAAAGACTGGGAAGAGAAAAAAAGGAGCCAAAGAGAATAAGGAGAGAGAAGTTTCCTAGAAATCCCAGAAGGATTTCAAGAGGAGCAGGTGGCCAGTAGTGTCAGATTCCAAAGAAAGGCCAAGTGACCGAAGGAC